GGGGTTCTTGGGTTCGGAGGGGGGGGGATCGGGGTTACTCACGGGAGGACCAGCAGCACCGGGAGCACCGTCGTTACCGCGAGCACCCTGCGGGACAGAGGCAGCCCTGAGCGTTGCCCACCAGCAGGAGGGCAGGAGGGGGGGCTCAGCCCTGCCCCGAGCGCGTACTCACAGCGGGGCCGGAGGGACCGGGGCGGCCTCTCTCGCCGGGAAGCCCTCGAGGACCCTGGGGGGGGACAAAAGGAGATGGTTTTATTTCTTTATCTCTTTATCTCGCAGCCGCTTTCCCCTCCCGTAACCTCTCCGTGTGCCCCCCTGCCCGCAGCGAGGGGAAGCCCCCCACCCCAAACATCCCTGGCTCTGCATCCCCAGGGATGCGCCGTGCCCCCCACCCCGGCCTCCTTTGCTGGTGGAGGCTCTGTGTGTGCCCCCCACCCCCGGTATTTCCCAGCCAGCACTCACCATCTGCCCAGGAGCACCATTCTCACCGGGGCTGCCAGGCTCGCCCTAGGAAAATAAAAAAGCGTAAAAATGGGTTTTCTGCATCAAAAAAAAAAAGGGAGAAGCGAGACCCCGATCAGGGCAGGGCCTCCCCAGCCTCCTCACCTTGGGGCCAGCAGGACCAGGCTCACCCTTGGCACCATCCAGACCGCTGAAACCCTGGGGAGGAGGAGAGGGGAGAGCGGGATGAGGAGGGGACCTCGCCGCGTCCCCAGCCCCTTGGGGGCGAAGCATTTGGGGGACCCCCGTCCCCAGCTTCACCCCCACAGCCTCGGGGCTGGGGTCCCTCGGGTGCACCCCAACTTTGGGTCACCCGCAGCTCCCTAAATCTGGGGTCTGGCTGGGGGAAGGACTCACTCTGTGTCCCTTCATGCCCGGCAGGCCGGCGGTTCCTGGCAGACCACGGGCACCCTAGGGGAAAAGGATGGGGGTGACGGAGATGCTCTGGGGGGGGCAGTGGGGGTGTCCCCACGCCCTTGTCCCCAGGGAAGTGGCACGGCCTCGGCTTCGCCACCCTGCTTGGGGTCTCCCCGTGGGGAGCAGCTCACCTGGGGGCCGGGGGGGCCACGCTCCCCGGGACGGCCAGGCTTGCCAGCTTCACCCTACAGAGAAGGACGCCTGGTGGGTGGCACGTCCCCAGGGCAGGCATCGAGCCCTGGGGGGGTGGGGGGGTGGCAGTGCCACCAGACCCCAAACCCAGGGGATCAGAGGGGGTGACCCCATCCCCATCCCACTTACATCATCGCCGTTCTTGCCGGGGGGGCCAGCTGGACCACGGGGGCCCATGGGACCCTAGGAGAGAAGTGAGAGGGGGGTGAGGGTGCTGTGGGTGCAGGGCACCCCGATGCCCCCTCCCGTGGCTCCTGGCCATGCTGGAGGGGGGGACACACACACGGGGGTGCCTCTGACCCCCCCCCAGCCCGTGGGGGGGGACGTGCTGCTGCAGCACATCAGCCAGACTTACAGAGGCACCGGGCTCTCCGGGTTCACCGGGGGGACCTTGGAAACCTTGAGGACCCTGTGGTTTTGGGGGGAAAAGGGAAAAAAATAAAGGGGGGAAAAATGGGTTAGAAAAGGAGAAAGATGGGACTGAAGCCCCCGCCGGCAGTGTTGGGACCCCCCCCATATGGACTTGTATCGTGACACATCCATGGGGATGCTGCGTCCTCACCCACCCCGTCCCCCCCGCCCCCCGCCACCATGGGGCCCCATGCCGGGGGGGGCCCTGGGGCTGCTCGTCCCAGAAAGAAGTTAGGGGAAGGGAGGAGGAGGAGGAGGAGGAAGAGGAGGAGGAGGAGGAGATACTCACGGGAGCACCAGGAGGGCCAGGGAGACCGCGGGGACCAGCTGGACCCTGGAAGGGAGAAAGGGAAGAGGTGCTGAGTGGGTGCCAGGCACCCCGTCCCCGTCCCCATCCCCATCCCTGTCCCTATCCCTGTCTCTGTTCTTGTCCCACTGATGTCCTCTTGTCACCCCATCCCTGACCCCATCACCACCCTACTCCTGTCCCCACCACCTCCCCATCCCTGCCACTACCCTATTAATGCCCCCATTCCTACCCCATTGATGTCCCCATCACCACCCTGCCCCTGTCCCATGGCCACCCCAGTGCTGTCCCCACTGCCACCTGTCTCTGTCCCCCATCAGCAGTGCCCCTGTCTCCATCACCGCCCCATCCCTGTCCCATTGCTGCCCTACTGATGTCCCCATTGCTGCCATATTGATGTCCCCATTGCTGCCCTCTTGATGTCCCCATTGTCACTCCAGCCCTGTCCCATTGCTAACCACCTGATTTCTCCATCCCTGCCCTGTAGCCACCCTATTGATGTCCCCATCGCTACCTCATTGATGTCCCCATCACCACCCCATCTCTGTCCCACCACTATAACATCCATGTCCCCATTGCTACCCCACTGATGTCCCCATTGCTGCCCCATTGAAGTCCCCACTGCCAAACCATCCCTATCCCAGTCCCCCCCCCATCCCAGTCCCCACCAGCACCCACCCTCACCTCTGTCCCCATAACCACCTCTTGCTGCCCCCATCCCCACCCCATCCCAGTCCCCATCACCCCCCATCCCCATCCCTGCCCCCATCACACCCCCCACCTTGGCAGCACCCTGGGCACCACCACCCCATCCCGCCCTCCCCATCCCCATCGTTTCACCCCCCCACGACCCCTCCCCACCCATGGGTGCCCCGTGCCACCCCGGTGCTCACCATGGGGCCGGGCACAGCCATGCCACCGGATTTCTCATCGTAGCCGTAGGACATTTGAGGAGCGAAGTTCTGCGGGGGGGGGAAGGAAGAAATAAAAGGGGCTGAGCATGGCACGAGCATCCCTAGAGTATACGGGGGGGGGTCACGGCTGGGGGGACCCCCCCATACTCACTCCGCCGAGGCCTGGAGGTCCTGGAGGGCCTGGGGGTCCCGGGAGGCCAGGCTGTCCAGGGATGCCATCTCTGCCAGGGGGGCCGGGGAGTCCCTGGGGGGGGGACAATGAGAGGTTGAGCTCCTGTGGGGCACCCCGGGCAGGGGGTGTCCAGGGAGCGGGGTGCTGGTGGCAGTACCCACCCTGTCTCCTTTGGGGCCGGTGTCTCCCTTAGGACCCTGTTGGGGAGAGGCGAGAGGGGTGGTTGGGTTCATCCCCAAAATGGGGCAACATCGAGGATTTGGTTATTTTATTTAATTATTTTTTTGGGGGGGGGGGGGGGGGAGTGTGGTTACCTCTACTCCAGCGCTTTCTGGGTAGACTGGGGAGGCTGCGGGAGAAAGGAGAGCGTTTAGAGGGGCTGAGCACCCACCCAGCGCCCATCCCCGGGGGGATTTTTTTTTTTGGGGGGGGGGCACGGTACCGTCGGTGTCGGGACAGATGGGGCAGCACTCTCCGAAGGGGATCTCAGCGTTGGGGCAGTCGGAGGTGTCCTCGCAGATCACCTCGTCGCAGAGGATGTTGCCGCTGTCGCAGACACAGATCTGGCAGGGCTCAGGTTTCCACACATCCTTGTCGTTGTACGTGAGCCCATCCTGTACGCAGCTTCCAGTCTGGACTGGGAGAACGGGGGCAAGGGTGCGGGGGCGTCAGGGGCACGGCTCCGCTCTCCCCCTCCCCATATCCCTGGGATCCCCCCCCCTTTCTCTCCTCTGCGCCTCCCGCTTCTGCAGCTTCGCTCCCTTCATCTGGTTCTCATCAGCCCGTCTCGGTGACACAGGAAAAGCACCGCCACAATAAACTCTTCCCACTTACTCTGGAATTTAAACAAAACCCCCAGCCAGTTGCTGCGTCCTGGCCCGCGGGGGCCAAGGAAAATACCGGGGGGCTCGGGGGGCTTCGTGCAGGCGATGCCTGGGGGGAAGGCTCTGCGCAAAGCAGAGGGGGGAGTGAGGCGAGGCTGGAGGGCTGGCCCCCACATCTGGGCTGAAATCAGAGCCAGGATGGGGCTGGATCAGGCCAGAATGAGCAGCGGCCAGAGGCTGCAGGCAGAGGGGGGCTGCGGAGAGCAGGGCGGGGTGCCAGGGCTTGGGGCGGCCTCGCAGCAGGGCTGGGGGGGCCGGGGAGGGGATGCGGGGTCACCCCGACCCGGGGATTCTGCCCCCCCTGCTCCACCCCGCCGGTGGCCAAGAGGAAAGGGGAAAAATGCAGCAAATGTTTAGAAAAATGCGAAACGCTCTCCCCCCCTCCACCAAAAAAAAAAGAAAGAAAGAAAAAAAAAAAAGTAAAGAAAAAAAAAAGAAAACCCAAAAATGCAAAAGGCGCGTTGCAAAATGGACGTTGCCAAACGCGAAAGGCGCCTTGCAAAACGCGATGCAAAACGCGGGGAGAAAAGGACCCAAAAGAAAAAGGAAAAAAAAAAAAAAAAGAGAAAAAAATAAACTACCCAAAACCCCCAAAAATGACAAAATCGGGAAACACGCAAAGGGCAGCGGCCGCTGTGCCCCAGGCCTGGCGCTGTCCCAGGGTCCCCCGTGTCCCCACGCCTGCAGGTGGCAGGCGCAGGCAGGCGAAGGCTCCAGCGGGGCGCAGGGGGGGACACGCCAGCAGGGGTGGGGGGGGGTGACCCCAGCCGTGCCCCCCGGCCCACCCCACACCCCCAGCCCCGCCGAGGTGTCCCCAGCAGGGGCAGGGTCGGTGGTGGTGGGGAGGGGGGGACCCAGCAGCGTGGCGCCCCCCAGCCCACGAAGCGCCGTCTAGACAGCCCCGACTTTACGGGCTGCCGAAACATTTTCCTTATGAATCATCTGAGACTTTTCTAATTCTTTCCTGATGGCTTTTGCAGAGCCGGCGGACGGGCCCCCCCCCCCCCGCCCCGCTTCCCCTTGCTCTCCCCCCCTCGCTCTTTTCCCCCCTTTCCCGTCTCCTCCGCCCCTTCTCCCTCCACCCTCCTCTCCCACCCTCTTGGCCGGCCGCCCCCGGCACCCCAGTGCGCCCCGCTCCCCTCCTTCCTACCCCCAGCCACTTTGTAAATTATTTTCTTAATTTTTTTTTTTTTTTTTGGCAGGACACACACCGCTTTTCGCCCCATCCCGTGGCCGAGGCGTCGAAGCCCACCCCGTCCCCCCTCCGGCGTGGAGGGCGCGAGACCCCCCCCCCCGCCCCGGCGGCTACTTACTGTCCTCTTCTCCTTGCCCGCGGGTGAGTAGTACAGTCGCTGCTATCAACAGCAGTAACCGAGAATCCACAAAGCTGAACATGTCTAAATATTAGACATGTAGACTCTTTGGGCCTCTTTGTCTTTAGGGTCGGGTCATTCAGGGCCGGTCTCACTCTGTAGCTCCAATCCAGACCCCAGCAGAAACTTCCTACTGCCTTTCCCACTGCTTCGCCTCCCCTTATATACGGTGCGGCGGCGGGGAGAGGTGGGACCCATCGCAGCCTGCGCGGGAGCGCACGGGGAATTTTGGACAGCCCCTCGGCCAATCAGCGGGGCCCCGCGCGTCGGGGGCACCCGCACACCCCCCCTTTTTTCCCCCCCCCCCTCCCCGCACACGCACACACACGGCACCCCGAAGCGGGGCGCTGGGATGGGGACCCCATCGTGGTTGGGATGTGGGGATGGGGAGTGTCAAGGAAGGGGGTTGGGGGGAATTGGGGTGGGTTTGGGGGGTTTTGGGGGGGGATTTTGGGGGTGTCCCAAAGTTACGGGGTGAGGATGTGGCTGGGTAGGGTGGGGACGGCGAGGTGGCCGCCTTGGGGACCCCAGTGCCACGCGGTCCCGGTGCGACGCCGGATGCTGGGGTGGGGAATTTGGGGTGCAAGCACCCGCTCTTGGCTGCGCCCCCACACCATGCCCCCCACCCACACCCCGGGGCTGTCCCCATGAGGACCCTCAGTGCCCAGCGCCCACCAAGCCCCGCAGGCCGAGCAGCACGGGCTGCACCAGCAGCACCCACACCATGAGCCCCGTGCGGGACAGGGGAACACCGACCCCCCAAGAAACCCAGCAGGGCACCCCAGACTTGGTGCTTTTTTTTTTTTAACTTTATTTCCATCTTTTACTTTCTTTTCGCCTATTCTTTCTCTCCTTTCTTTCCCTCTCCCCTTTCTTCCTCCCCTCTGGCACGCCTCCATGGCTGTTTCCACATTTGAAGAGCCACGTTGGTTGGAAAAAGAAAAAGCTCGCTGACAATAATCCACAATATACCGTGCAATTTGGGGAGGTTGTAATTACATGCCAAAAAATATACGGCTGCACCAGGGCCGGGGCGGCCGCCTGGGTCTCCGGGACAGAGAGGGAAGGAGAGACCCGAGCGAGCGCCCCGAGCAATGTGGCACAGGGCGGGGGACACCCCCTTTTTTTTTTTGCAGGGGGTGTTTTTAGGGGAAATGGGGCTGGGGGCTGGTGTTTTGTTTTTTTTGGGGGGGATTCCCCCCACCTCCTCTGCTTGGGTGTGTGTTTGCAAGCTGCTGGGCCGTTGAGTTTTGGGCGGCTCGTTGCAAAGCCAAGCCACCCGCTGGGGACACCCACGTCCGAGCAAGTCCCTCGGTGACTTTTCTTGCGGGGGGGGGGCACAAAAGCAACTCCACAATAATTCCACAATGCAACGAAGGCGAGCGGGGCTGGGAAGAGGAGGGGATGGGGGGGGAAGAGACACGTCGAACCGGCGAGCAAAAAAAAAAAAAAACCACCCTGCGCCGGTGACCTCTCCAGGTCTTTTTTTCCAGGCTGCAATTAAATGCAAAGAAAAAAAAAAAAAAAAGAAAAAAAGCCAAAAAGCCAGCAGCAGGAGTTATCTGCGCGAGCTGTGCACACCCGGGCGCGCGCGCGGAGCAGCTGGCCGGAGTTCAAGCCTGTATCTATGCATCCGAGACACGTTGCAGGCGAAGGCTCCTCCAATCATGCCTCGGCGACTCGAAAACCCCTGGCCGGGCTCCAGGCTGAAGATGTGTCTTTAATTTTTGCAGCATGACAGAAAAGAAAAGAATGTCATCGTTTTTTATATGCATGTAGAGCGGGAGGGGAGGAAAGGGGAGAAGGGGGGGGGGACGGTGCCACCTCATCAGCCCCGGGCCGCCCGCCCCAGGAATGCAGGGTTTGGTGCAGGGGCTGGGGGGCTGGGGGAGGGAAAGGGCAGAAATCCCGCTTTTTGAAAAAAAAAAAAGAAAAAATTAGAATAATAATAATAAAAGCCTGGAAAAGCCATTAGGATCCTAGGAAGCGGGATGGGAGATGCAGGAGGAGGCCCTGCTGCGGCTCCCAGCTGCGGGACGGTGGCACCCGCCTGGGACCTTGGCCTTGGGGACAGCCGGGAGCGGGGGCTGGCCCTGGGGAGGGGTCGCAGCCCCCTCCCTCTAACCCCAGCCCCGACCCTTTCCAGACTGGTTGCACTGGTGCCAACTGGGCCTGCGGCTCCCGTCTGCGCGAAGGGAGGCGGACGCCCCCGAAAGTCACTTTTCCGCCCCCAAAACCTCGGTGGCCGCGGGGTCACCCAGCGGCGGGGGGGACACGGGGCGGGAGGGGGTCAGAGGGGGTCCGCGCTGCGTTTTGGGGTAGGACCTTGCGAAAAACACAGCTGATGGGGCCGGGGGCGCTGGCGGGGGGGGCGGGGGGGTTTGTTTGCCTGCGCCGAAAGGAGCTGGAGCAGACGCAGGCATCTGGAGTGAGTTAACTCCCCTCGACAGCGCAGACACATGGATCGGATTAACTCCCTTTTTTCTTTCCTCCCCCCCCCTCTCCGCGGCCCCGCAGCGCTCCCGGCCCCCGCCGCCCCCCCCACCCACCCAGCCGCCCCCCTAACCCCTCCCCACCCCCGTCCAGCCGCACCCTTGGGTGCCCCCAGGTCCCTGCGTCCATCGGGGGGAGGCCACCGGGTGTCCCCCGGGGGCTGCGGCACGCAGGTGTGGGACCTTTTGGGGTCGCACCCAAAAATCCCCAAAAAGTGATGCTTGGAGGGGGGTCTTTCCCCTGCATCCCACCGTGGCACGGCTCCCCCCGCACGGCGAGGGTGGGGGTCGGGGTGCCTCAGTTTCCCCCGGCACGGCCGCAGCCCGCAGCCTGGCACCGCCCTGGCTATTCCTGGTCCCTCGGAACCCTAAATTGTGGCAGGCAGGGCAAAAAAAAAAAAAAAACCATAATCACGGGCAGCGACTGCGCCGGCTATTTCCAGCTCCCGTTCAAAGCAGCCAGGGCAATTGCTTAATTGGGCTCCGGGCTGCCAACGAGACGCGGCTCCTCGCCCCGGAGAGGGGAGCGGGGGCCGCTATGGGATGCTCGTGTCCCGCCGGGGACCCCCAGCTCGTTTGGGGTGCAGGTGGATTGGGATGGTGGTTGTGGATCAGGGGGAGGTGGCCCCGATTTGTGGTCCCCAGAGTGGGACGTGGCATGGGGTGATGGGGGAGGATTTGGGGTTGCTTGGGGGATTTGGGATGGGGGCGTCCCGAGGGTGGGAGCATCCCAAAGGGGGGAGCATCCCAAAATGGGGAGCAACTCAAAGGGGGAGCATCCCAAAGTGGGGAGCATCCCAAAATGGGGAGCAACTCAAAGGGGGAGCATCCCTATGTGGGGAGCATCCCAAAGTTGGGAAGCATCCCAAAGGGGTTAGAATCCCAAGAGGGAAGCATCCCAAAAGGGGGAGCATCCCAAAAGGCAACGCATCCCAAAAGGGGGAGCATCCCAAAAGTGGGGAGCATCCCAAAAGGGGGGAGCATCCCAAAGAGGGGAGCATCCCAAAACTGGAAGCAACCCCAAAGTGGAAGCATCCCAAGGATGGCAACACCCCGAGGCGGGGAGCATCCCGTGGGGACATCCCCAGGGCGAGGGCACCCCCGGGGTGGGGGCACCCCCAGCGTGGGGCCGTGCAGCCCCCCCCAGGCGAGCAGCAGCAGCCCAGCCCGGGCCCCCGCCGGCTCAGCTTGCAGAGCCCGGGATGGAAATTCTGAGGGCCGAGGTACACGCCGAACATTTTCCGTTGCCAGTTCTCTTTTCTTCTCTCTCGCCTTTTTTTTTTTTAATTTTTTTTTTCCCTTTTTTTTTCTCCCCCCCCCCCCACCTCCTTTTCTCCTTTTCAATTTCATTGAAGAATTTTTGCCGCTCCCGGCCGTGGCCCCACACGCACCCCCCCCCCCCCCCCCCCGGGGGCCGGGGCGCTGCTCCCCAACCCCATCCAGGCAGGACCATGGGGATGGGAGGGACATGGGGGGACCCCCGGCACCCATCCTGCCCCCTCCCCACGACCCCCCCAAATCCCTTTGGAGGGGTCCCCACCCCATTCATCCGCCTGCGAGAGCATCCCCGGGGGCTGCTGGGTTCATCCCCCTGGGGATGGGGATGGGGATGGGGACGGGATGGGGATGGACGGGGATGGGATGGGGATGGGGATGGGGATATGGGATGGGGATGGGATGGGGATGGGAATGGGAATAGGGACGAGGGCGAGGGCTCCTCGCGCTGCCGGCCGGCACCGGAGCCTGGCTGGGATTTCTCCCAGTGACCTCATCCACCGCGGGCTGGGCGGGCGCCCGGGGCCTGGCTGGGGACGGTGGCCCCCGGTGCCACGTGGCCGGGGCGTGGGGCTGCCGGCGCCCGCCTCGCACCCTTCCTCAGCCCCAATTTGAAGGGGGGACCCCGGGGGCTGCTGAAGCCCCAAACCCCAAAATCCCCCCCGGGGGGTATTGCAGGGCTGTGATTTTGTATGGGGGTAGAACTGTAGGGTGCCCCCCCCTCACCCAGTAGGAGGTGATGGTCCCAGTTTCCAAAGGATGCTGGGCGCAGCCAGCACGCAGCCCGCCTGGTTTTGGGGTGGCTCGGTCCCAAGGGGGGGGTGGGAAGCTGAGGGGGGAGCTTGGTGGGATGGGGTGGGGGTAAATGGAGAAAATCCCACCGAGGGGCTGGCAGCAGGGGGTCAGGGCTCGTCCTGAAGGGCTGGAGCTTGGGGTCGGGTCGGGGCTGGTGGGTTGGGGTTGTTGGCTTGGGGTTGTTGGCTTGGGATTGTTGGGTGTTGGGTGTTTGGGGTAATTGGGGTGGGGTAATTGGGATGGGGTAATTGGGATGGGGTTATTGGGATGGGGTAATTGGGATGGGGTAATTGGGATGGGGTTATTGGGATGGGGTAATTGGGATGGGGTAATTGGGATGGGGTAATTGGGATGGGGTTATTGGGTTGGGGTTATTGGGTTGGGGTTATTGGGATGGGGTAATTGGGATGGGGTTATTGGGATGGGGTTATTGGGATGGGGTTTGGGGGTATTTGGTGCTTGGGGTTGTTGGGTTGGGGTTGTTGGGTTGAGGTAATAGGGTTGGGGTTGCTGGTTTGGGGTGGTTGGGTTGGGGTTTTGGGGTATTTGGTGCTTGGGGATGTTGGGTTGGAGCTGTTGAGTTGGTGGTTGGGTTTGTTGGTGGTTGGGACTGGGGGTTGGGGTTACTGGTGGATGGGGTTACTGGTGAGTGGGGTTACTGGGGGTTGGAGTTGCTGGAGATTGGGGTTACTGGTGGATGAGGTTGCCAGTGGTTGGGTTTACTGGTGGATGGTGGTTGGGTTTACTGGTGGTTGGGTTTACTGGTGGTTGGGGTTACTGGTGGATGGGGTTACTGGTGGATGGGGTTACTGGGGGTTGGGGTTACTGGTGTTTTGGGCGTTAGGGTTGGGGCTTCTGCGGTTGAGGTTCAGTGGCTCCCCAAATTTGGAGTGACTCAGTTCAGATTTTGGGGCTGGGGTCCCCCAGCCGTGCAGGCTGGGTGGGTGGGAGGCCGGGCGGCTGGAGGCCGGGGGGGGGCACATGAGAGTGACCGTGGGTGGCCCTTGGTGGAGGAGGACAACACCGTGGGGGTCCCCCCTCCCCCAGGCACCCCCAAACCTACACCCGCCCCCCCCTCCCCCAGACACCCCCAAACCTACACCCGCCCCCCCCTCCAGCCCCAACTGGGGGCTCCAGGGAGCTGCTGGGGCACGGGGGTCTCTGGGCAAGGGGACCCCAAATTGGGGGGGCCCCATCTCGGTGGGGCTGGGAGGCTGGGGTGGGAGGGAGGCCCCGCTGCGGGGGGAGGACGCCTCCACCCCCGAGGAAGGCAGGGCTCAGCCTGGGGCCTGGGCAGGGGGGAGCTGGGCTGGTGCCCCCCCCCCAGCCCCCCCCCCAGCAGCTCTGCTCCAGCTCCGCAATGCCCGAGCCCAACCTCTGCTCTTCCTCCTCCTCCTCCTCCTCCTCCTCCTCCTCCCCCCCCCCGGCTGCTTCCCACCCGCTCCCAGCCCCACGTCAGCACCTTCGCCCCAGCCTTCCCTCCCCGTTCCCCCCAGTTCATCCCAGTTCCCCGCCTGGGGGACCAGCATGGACGAGGGGGGGTTAACTCTTCCCTCTCAGGTTGCTGCCCCCCCCCCCCCTTTGTCCCCATGGTGTCCCCCCCCCCATCCTTTCCGTGTCCCCCATCCGTGCCCCCAGCCCTATGGGGTCCCCCCCATCCCCACAGCACCCCCCCTAACCCCATGGCCCCCCCCCAAAATTTTCCACGTCCCCCTGACCCCACAGCCCCCCCCATCCCTATTGGGTCCCCCAATTCACCCAGTGCCCCCCCACCCCCTTGGGCTGCCCCCCCCCCACTCCCATGGGGTCCCCAATTCCCACACCGTCCCCCCCCCTCCTCGTGGAGCCCCCCCCCTCCCTTCCACGTCCCCAATTCCCACGGTGTCCCCCCACCTCCCTGGGCCCCCCCACACCCCTCCCGTGCCCCCCCCCTCCCCGCCACGTCCCGTCCCCAGCCGCCGCTTTGGCAGCAGGATTTGGCCATCGTGGAAATCCGAGGGGGGGGGGGGAGGGGGGGGGCTCCTTGGAAAAATGGGGGGGGGGGGAGGGGAGGGGAGGGGCCTCAAGGGGGGGCGGGGCCTGAGATGGGGGGCGGGGCCACGCGACAAAGGGATGAAAACAGGGCAAAGACATAAAAAGTCCTTCCCCCCCCCCCCAACCCCTCCGCCTGCTTTCACCCCCCCCCAAAAAAAAAATAAATCACGGCGGCCCCCTCCCTGCCCAAGGACACGCGTGCAGGGGGAGAGGGAAACTGAGGCACGGTGGGGGCAGGGGGATGCTCCCCCCTCTCCTGCAGCCCCCCCCCTTTTGCAGCCCCCCCCCCGGTACCATAAAGCCGGGGGGGGGGCCGCTGCGTCCCCACGCGGGATGGGGACCGGGACATCCCACGGGGCTTCAGCATCCCTCCTGGGCATCCCCCCCCCAAAAAAAAAATCACAGTCGATGCTCTTTTTGCCCCCCCCCCTTCTTTGCTCCCCTCCTTCTTCACCCCCATTCTTTGCCCCCCCTTCCATGCCCCCCCCATTCTTTGCCCCCCCACCTTTGCCCCCCATCCTTGCCCCTCTCTTCTTTGTCCCCCCCTTTCCTTTGCCCCCCCCCGCACTGACACGTCCCCGGCACAGCCTCCACGTCGGCAGGGGGAGGGGAGGCTGCGGGGGGGGGGGGAGATAAAGAGGGGGTAAGGGAAGGGGCTGGGTCCATCCCCCCCCCCCCCACCAGCACCACCCTGGTTTGGGTCCCCCCCCCCTTCCCTGCAGTGCCTGGGGGGGCTGCAGCCGCCTGCATGGAGTGGGGGGGTGGGCACGGCAGTGGGGCTGTAACGGGGGGTGGGGGGGGGCTATAAAGGGGGCAGTATGGGGGCTATAAAGGGGGCAGCAGGGGGGCTATATATAGGGCCATATGGGGGCTGGACCGTGGGCAGTATGGGGGCTATAGGGTGGGCAGTATAGGGGCTATAGGGTGGGCAGTATGGGGGCTATAGGGTGGGCAGTATGGGGGATATAGGGTGGGCAGTATGGGGGCTATAGGGTGGGCAGTATAGGGACTATAGGGTGAGCAGTATAGGGGCTATAGGGTGGGCAGTATGGGGGCTATAGGGTGGGCAGTATGGGGGTTATAGGGTGGGCAGTATGGGGGCTATAGGGTGAGCAGTATGGGGTCTATAGGGTGAGCAGTATAGGGGCTATAGGGTGGGCAGTATGGGGGCTATAGGTTGGGCAGTATAGGGGCTATAGGTTGGGCAGTATGGGGGCTACACCATGGGCGGGATCAGGGCTATACTGCGGGCATTATAGGGGCTATAGGGTGAGCAGCCCTGGGCTATATTGTGGGCAGCACCAGGGCTATTCCATGGGCAGTTTTGGGGCCGCGCCATGGGCAGCGTTGGGACCATACCGTGGGCAGCACCGTACCCATACCCTATGGGTAGCACTGTACCTGTACCGTGGGCAGCACCGTACACATACCAGCACCGTGCCCCTCTCACAAGCAGCACGGTGCCCATATAGTTGGCAGCACGGATCCCATACCCCACAGGCAGCACCGTGACCATACCATGAGCAGCACCAATCCCATACCCCGTGGGCAGCACCGTGCCCACCCCACGGGCAGCACAGATCCCATACCCCACGGGCAGCACCGTGCCCTCCCCAGCCCCGTGCTCCATGTCCCGGCGCAGGGCAGGAGGCAGCCCCCGGCCCTACGGGGCAGCAGGAGCCGCGCGGCTCTGCAGGTGCTGCGGGGCCCCCGGCTGCACCTCGGCAGGTTGGGGCGAGCCGGAGGAGCCTCTCCCACCCCTGCCCGAGGGCACGGCACCGGGGGGGTTGGGGGGGGCACGGTTCCACCGCAGGCCCGAGCACACTCGGGGTGCCCACCCTGAGGTCGGGGGCACGGCACCGCTGCTGGGGGCACCCCACGGGCAGGGTCCCCAAGAGGAGGGGATGGGGCTTGGGGGGCAGAGAGGGAATAAAGGGGTTTTGTGGAGAGACCCGAGTGTATTTTTTGTAGGGTTTGGTGGTGGTGCTGTTCGGTGTCCCCCCCCTGGCCATGATGTACCCACCCCGCTCTCCAGCAGCGTCCCTGTACCCGTCGGTCCCTTTTCCCATCATCTCTCCATCCATCCATCCAACCATCCAAGCATCCCACCTCTTATCCGTTCCTCTTTATTTATCCATCCCTCCCATCGCCCCCACACCATAGCCAGGCCCCATTCACCCACCCCCAGTCCCCCCCCCGTCGCCCAGCCCTGCCCACGGCAGCACCTCGGGGTGCTTCCAGCTGCCGCAGGCTCCGGCTCCCGTCCCCGGAGAGCTGCCAGCAGCCGGCCGGGTGCTCGCCGAGCTCCCCGCGTGCTCCTGCTCCAGCTCCAGCCAGGATGAGGGTGATGGGGATGGGGACGGGGACGGTCCAGCCCCACCAGGATCAGCCCCTGCTGCTGGTTCTGGAGGTGTAGTGTGGATTCGCTGATAGCTACGAGGGGCTTGAGCACCTCCTGCCCCCCCCTTCAAACCATTGGACCCCAAACCAGTCACCCGCAGGGCACGGAGCACGTCGGGCGTTGAAGTTCTGATCGGTTGGGCTGGGTGGAGAGAAGCAGCTCCCGGGGTGCTGGCGAAGTGCTGGGGCTTCCCTGGGAGTCAGGTGCCACATTCAGCTCCTGAGCATCCAACCCCTGCACATGCAAACCCTGCACACGCAACCGCTGTGTGAGCAATCCTTGCACCTCCAACCCCTGCACGTGCAGCCCCTGCATGTGCAACTCTTGCACATGCGACCCCTGTGCGTGCAACCCCTGGGCGTGCAACCCCTGTGTGTGCAACCCCTGTGTGTGCAACCCCTGTGCATGCAACCCCTGGGCGTGCAACCCCTGTGTGTGCAGCCCCTGTGTGTGCAACCCCTGGGCGTGCAACCCCTGTGTGTGCAACCCCTGTGTGTGCAACCCCTGTGCATGCAACCCCTTCTGTGAGCAAACCATGTTCATGCAACCCCTGTGCATGCAACCCCTGCACACGTAACCCCTATGTGTGCAACCCTTGCACATGCAAGCCTTGCACATGCACCCCATGCATGCAACCCCTGCACATGCAGCCCCCATGCAGCCCCATACGTGCACACGAGCGTGCCAGGCAGCACCAGCCCCACACCCGTGCCACACACGTGCACACCCAGGGCTGCGCACACCGCACGCCCCACGCAGGCCACCTCCTGCCGCCTCCGTCCCCACTCCGATGTCCCCATCCCGATGGGGGGACGGGGCCCCAGGACCCCTCTCCGCTGTGCTGCAGCCGGGTGCCGGGTGGGCCGCAGGGCCGGGCGTTGCGCGTCGGCCGGCTACCATCCCCGACGGCCGGGTGCCAAATTCCTCCGCCCACACAGGAAGCCGTCGGCGCGCTCTCGGCGCTCTGCACCGGGGCCAGGCCGGCCAGAGGGATGCGAGCGAGCGAGGAAGGGCTGGAGGAGAGAAACCAGGTCAGCCCCGAGCCGCCAGCGTCACCCTGGCACGCAGCAGCCGGCTCCTTCGAGGAAGCAGGGCGAGGATCCGGCCCCGGTGACGTCCCCTCCGGCGCGCACGGCATGCGCCTGGCCGGCGCTCGCTCGCTCGAGGAACCGCCTCGGCCCCGCTGTGGGGTGAGCCCCAAACAGGGGGCACCCGCATCGCCGGGGGTCCAGAGGGGCTGGGGGTGAGGAGGGGGCTTCGAGGGGAGCCACCGCCCCGGGATGTTTTGGCTGCTGGTGCCCGGGAGCCTCAGCCCGTGCTGCAGCCGAGGGGAGCAGAAGGGCTGGGGCTGCAGCGACGCCTGCGCTGCCTCTGAGTCATGGGCCCATCCCTGGGCATGGCTCCATCCCGGGGTTGTGCTCCCATCCCGGGGTCGTGTTCCTGTCCCTGGGTACCTCCCCCATCCCTGGGTACCTCTCCCACCCCTGGGTTGTGTTCCCGTCCCTGGTACCACTCCTAGCCCTGGGTACTGCTCCCATCCCTGGTTCTGCTCCATCCCCGGTACCTCTCCATCCCTGGTGCCACTCCTAACTCCGGGGTGCAGCTCCATCCCGTGGCACCGCTCCGTCCCTGGGTACCACTCCCATCCCCGGGGTCATCCTCCTGTCTTTGAGCAATGCTCCCATCCCCAAATTGTGCTCCCAGCCCCAGGTCACGCTCCCAGCCCTGGGTACTGCTCCCATCCCCAGGTCCTGCTCCCACCCCCGGGTGATGCTTCCATCTCTGAGCGATGCCCCCGTACCCAAATTGTGCTCCCATCCCGGGTACCTCTCTCATCCCTTGTTCCTGCTCCATCCTTGATGAATGCTCCTGCTCCAGGTGCAGACCCCGCTCCACCCCCCTGCCATAAATTCACCTTCCCACCCGCCCCCTGCCCACGGCCAGGCCCACGGGGATCTCTCCCTTCTCGCGCTCCTTCTCCTCCTCCCCTCCTCCCAGCCGCCTTTCAAACACAAACACGGAGCAGTGGAAAATGTGACCGCCGCGGAGCTGCAGATAACTCGGGGCCGAGCCGTGGCCAACTGGAACAGCAGAGGCTTGGCTGCGGCCCTGGCTGGAGCAAGCAGTGGCCGGGGGGGGCCGGGGGACCCGGCGGGGGACAGCGCGGGACTCCCTCGCGCCTCGCTCCCTCTGCTCCCTGGGTTTCCGCGTCACTGCTGGCCGGCCTGGCACGGCTCCGGCCCCAGCAGCTTCCCCAGGGGCCAAATCCAGCCGAGGAGGAGGCTGCGGGGACCCCAGCCTGGGGGGAACGTCCTTAGGATGGGGATCCCAGCGGTGGTGGCATGGGGGTGGGATGGAAGTGCCATGGGTGGTGCCGAGGGAGAAGGATGGAGATGCCCGGAGGTGGTGCCTGGATGAGGATGGAGATGCCCAGGGGTGGTGCTGGATGGGCAGGCTCGGGGTGCTCAGGGATGGTGCTGGAGGAGGGTGGGGATGCCCAGGGATGGTGGCACACGGGCAGGATGCTGCAGCACAGGGATGGGGGCTGGCTGAAGGTGGAAGCGCCCGGGGATGGTGCCAGACGGGCAGGTTAGAGGTGCCCAGGGATGGGGCCAGATGAGAAGGATGGAGCTGCCGTGGGCAGGATGGAGAGCCTGGGGATGGTGCTGAACGAGCAGGATGGAGATCCCAGGGGTGGTGGCAATTGGGCAGGACAGATGCCAGGGATGGTGGCACTTGGAGAGGATGGAGATGCCACAGATGGTGGCACATGGGCAGGATGGAGGTGCCAGGGAAGGTGGCGCATGGGCGGGACAGATGCCAGGGACAGTGACACTTGGGCAGGATGGATGCCAGGGGTGGTGGCACTTGGGCAGAAGGAGATGCCAAGGACAGTGGCACTCGGACAGGATGGAGATGCCACAGATGGTGACACTTGGGCAGGATGGAGGTGCCAGGGAGGGTGGCACATGGGCAGGATGGATGCCAGGAACCATCCCTCGTGGCCGCGGCGGTGCCCGCGGCAGCCCAGCAGCGGTGATGCCCACGGGAGCAGGACGGAGCCCCGGCCCTGGGCAGCCCGGAGGTGTGTGGGCTGGGAGCAGCAGCGGTCGGAGCAGCCCGTTTGTTTCTCATTAGCGGCTCTTGGCAGGAGCTGTGGAAAAAATAGCTTCAAACAGCAGAGCTGGAAGGGAAAAGGCTGGGCCGGAGGGAGGGGAGAGGGGCCGCGGTGGGGAAGGGGGCGCAGGGCCAGGCGGGGTGCGGGGAAGGGGCTGGGGGTCTGCGGCCCGCGTGGGTGCAGGGACAGGGAAGGGGACGGGGTCCCCGTGGTGGCATCCCGTTCCCCAGGGGGGCAGCAGCCGGGGAGCTCGAGCACACGCGTGTGTTGGTGTGCGCTTCTGTGCACGGGGCCGGCGAGCCCCGCGTGTGCGCGCACACCCGGTGGTGTGAGCATGGCCGGGGAGGGGACAGGGCCCCGGGAGGTTCCTCGCGGCACCGGGGCTGATTCTCACGTTTTTGGGGGCGGCGGGAGGCCCCGAGCCGCTTACGCAACCGCGTGTCTGCGAGCTTCGACGAGCGCCGCCAAGTCCCCCAAACACGAGCGGGGGGAGAGCAGGGCGAGGACCGCCGCGAGCTCAGCCCTGCTGCTCCTCCTCCGTGGCACGGTGGCTTGTCCCCAGTGCCGTGGTGGTGCCAGGGTGGCACCGGTGCCACACGGCCTCTCCCTAGGGCTGGGAACCGGCAGCGTCGAGACGGGGTCATCTGGGGACAGTGCCCGGGCGCGCCGCTCGTCCCCACAGACGGGGCCATGCCAACGGGAGCTGGTGGCACCGTGGCAGCGGGCACACGGACGCGGTCCCCATGGGTGTGGGGACACCTCGGCGTGGCCAGGAGGGGGTCCCCGCGTGCCCCTCGCCGTGTGGCACGCGTGCTCGGTGTGCGCGTGCAGCCCCGTGTGTCGGTGCACACAGCGGGCACGCGCGTGGCCCCGTGGGTTTGGCACAGGTACGTGGCCTCCGGGAGCCACCTGGCTATTTCTGCCTCCCGCCTGGCTTTAATTCTACCCTGCCTGCTGCTGGCGTGTAATTAGGAACCCAAAAAAAGGCCGGCAGCCTCCCCGGGCACCGTGTAATCTGTGGCAGCGCATGGACACACAGCGCTGCAGCCCCGGGGAGGGACCGGGGCACTGGGGGGGGGCAGCGAGCACCCGTAGCCCCATCTGGGTGTCCCCGCACAGCCGGTGCTGCTGGAGCACCCCTGGGCTGGAGGGGACCGCAGCAAGCTGGGGGGGCTCTGCTTTGGGTTTATAATATGGGGGGGTGTTGAAAATGAGGGTCCCCACCACAGCAGCCCTGGTTTGGGGACCTGCCGGCAACCCCTGGGGAGGGAGCACAGGAGGACACGCGGCGGCAGTGCCTTCGTTAAGCCCCTGAGCCAATTAGCCCGGCACAGCCACCCCGTGCACCCCCCCCAGCAAAGCCCCCGCTCCCTGGGTGCCAATAAACCCCTTAAGGGGATGATCCTGCTTAAGGCAGCACCGGGCGGGCAGGGCACTGTAGCACCCATGGGTGTCACCTCTGCTCCCTGCTTGGTGTCACCACAGGGACTTCGCCGCCGCCCCCTTGTCCCCTGGCTCCCCACGTGCTATGGGGCAGCCCCAAATCGCTGCACCCCCCACACCCACCCCTTGGGTAACTCACCTGGGTGCACGGCCCCTGCCTGCGTCCCCACGGCCCCCGGCTCGCCTGCTGGGGGGGCACGGTGTGGGGCACCCCCATGGCCCTGTCCCCAGCCCCACGGCAGCCCCGGTGGTGCGGGGCTGATCGGCTTTGGAGAGCTTAAGGTCCTGAGCCAGTGGCTTCACGCCTGCGAGGAGATCCCGCTCCTTCGGCCTCGCCACCGTCACCTCACCCGACCCGGGGACACGGCTCCAGCGGGACAGCAGGGCACAACCGGAGGGTGTGCAAGGCACGGCACCCCCTGTGCCACCCCATGTGCATCCCGTGCACCCCCTGTGCCATCTTGCGCATCCCTGTGCCACCCCGTGTGCATCCCATGGTACCCCCTGTGACACCCCGAGCACCCCCTGTACTGCCCCATGCACCCTGCACGCATTCCATGCGCCCCCTGTGCCACCCCGTGCACCCCCTGTGCCACCCCACGCACCCTGTGTGCACCCCATGTGCATCCCATGGCACCTCCTGTGCCACCCCATGCACCCTGCATGCACCTCAAACACCCCCTGTGCCACCCTGTGCACCCCCTGTGCCACCCCAAGTGCACCCCATGTCACCCCCTGTGCCACCCCGTGCCCCCCCTTCCCACACCCACAACATGCACCGCACACCCCCCTGCACACGCACACTGCTGTGGGCACACACCACGTGCATCATACACCACTGCCCCCCCCCTTCATGGACACCCCCCCCAGCTGCATTTTGGGTTTGGGGGCGTTGGCACCCCCCGGGCTCCCCCCCCCCGCGTGCCACCCAGCCACGCTCCTGCTCCATCGGAGTCTGCAGCAGCTCCCACGGGCACAGCCTGACCCCCCCCCACCCCAAAGCTGGTGGGGGGGAGCAGAGCTGTTGAGGCTGGGGGGTTTGGGGGGGAGGTGGCAGGACCCCCCCCCGGACAGCCCCGGCCCCGCTCCAGCTCCCACGGCCGGGGACACGTGGCCTTTCCCTCTGCCAACGGGAGCCGCCTGCCCCTTGGGAACGGGAGCAAAAAGCCTGGAAATGCCCCAAAATCCACCCGTACCCAGCGGGGAGGGGGGTGACACCCACCCCAGAACCAGCCTGCGGGGCTCAGAGCCCCCCCAATGTCACCAAAACATCCCACAGGGACACCGGGAGCAAACGGGGCCCCCCCTGGCCCCAGCATCCCCCCCCCCCCCAAGCTGCCCCCCACAGCCCCACCGAGCCCCAAGGTGGGGGCAGCAGGAACCAGCTTGGGGGCACCCCAAAATTCTTCCCCACCCCCCCCCCCAAGCAAAGCCAAACCCTGAGACCCCAAAAAATTGGAGAGGGGGATTCTGGATGGGAAGGAGAGATGGGGGCGTTTGGGGGGGGGGCAGAGGGGGAAATGGGGGGCAGCGGGAGGGGGGCAGCACCATGGGGTGGGGATGGGGACAGGGGACAGGGGACAGGGACGGGGATGGGGACACGGGGACAGGGACAGGGATGGTGCCGGGGCTGCCACATCAGCAGCGGGGAAGGGAAGCGGCGCCCGCAGCTGGGAGCCAGATGGGGAGGGGACGGTGCCGGGAGGGGGGGCGGCGGGGCTGGGGGGGGGCACCCCAGGGTGTCCCCGTGGGTGGGGACCCCCCCCCCATGGGGAGGGCACGGGGACACCACGCTGAGCACCCCTGGCTCTTGTCTCCCAGCTCCCTGGCCCTAATTTTTTTATTTTTGTTTTTTTTTTTGGGGGGGGGGGAATGGAGGGAGGGAGGGAGGGCCTGAGGAGGGAGGGGTGGACAGAGGGATGGACAGAAGGATGGACGGAGGGACGGACAGACAGACCTGCACAGACCCCAAGCACAGCGCACTCCCCGCAGCCCCCTCGGTGCCCTCTTTTGGGGTCATTCCCCAGATTGGGGGGGGGGTGGGGGGTGACAGCAGCACCCCTCATCTCACCCCCACCCCAACCACCACACCCAGCATCACCCAAGTCGCCCCAATTCGCCCCATTCCGGACACCCCCCCCCCCCCCTTACACCCGCACACCCCCACCCAGGGCCCCCACCCAGGGCGAAGTCTGTGCGGGGAGGCGCGGCGGGGCAGGGTGCGGGGTGACCCCCACCCATGGGTCCAGAGTCCGGCGCGGGCACGGCGGTGCCGGGGATGCCAACGCGCCCGGGTTCGTCCCCAAACCCCCAGGGGGGTGGCCGGGGTCACCGGGGTGGAAGGGGGGGGCGGTAACGGGACGGGGAGGCCGGGAGGGATCCTTTGGGTGACAGCGGGTGCTGGAGTGGGGGGTGGCGGCCGGCACCCTAGGGTGGCGGGGAGCGGGGGGAAGCTGCCTGCCACCGGCACGCGCCTCTCGGTGTCCCCAGGACCATGTTCGTCATCATCATCTTCATCTTCATCTCCATCATCTTCCTCATCATGATCTGCCACATCTGCCGCAAGCTGTGCCGCGATGAGCCCCTGCACCCCCCGCCCTACATGGACCCCCAGTCCCCCGCCCCCCCACAGCTTGGCCCCATGCCCGCGCTGCCCAGCCTGCCCGGGGGGGGCATCCCCATGGGCCTGGAGCCCCCGCCCTACAGCGAGGTGGGTCCTGCGTGGCCGGGGGGGTGGGCACTGGGTGGGTATGGTGGGGGGGGCGTGGGGAGGGTGGGGGGGTTGGGGGTTTATGGGGTGGTGGGTGCTGGAGCTGTGGGGTGGTGGTTTTTGGGGCTATGGGTGCTGGAGTTATGGGTGCTGGAGATATTGGGTTGTGGGTTCTGGGGTTGTGGGTGCTGGCGTTATGGTGCTGGAGTTATGGGATTTTGGGTGCTGGGGCTATGGGGTGGCGGGTGCTGGAGTTATGGGGTAGGGGGTGTTGGGGTTACGGTGCTGGATGATGGGGCTATGGCGCAGCGAGTGACAGGGCTATGGGTGCTGGGGCTATGGGGTGGTGGGTGCTGGGGCTATGGGGTTGGGGTGCTGGGGCTATGGGGTTGGGGTGCTGTGGCTATGGGATGGCACACGCTGGGGCTCTGGGGCTCAGGAAGGCATGGGGGGCACCATGGGGGCCACAAGACACCCCCATGCCGCGCACCCAGCCCCTACACCCGGTGCTGCACCATTGCCCAAGGTGGGAACCCCAAGGTGGGGACTCCTCGGTGGGGGGGGGTTGTCACGGGCACCCTCCTGCCCCCGAGGACCCTGGGGTCCCAGCAGCCCCCCCGCACACACACTGGTGCCCTCTCGCCCCCCAGGTGACGGCGAAGCCCTTCCTCTACCCGCTGCCGCAGGGGCCGTGCCCCGAGTGCGGCCACAACCCCGAGGCTCAGCGCGCCCCCCCCACCCAGACCAACTTCTGGGGGGGGGGGACACCCCCAGCACCCCCACGGAGACCGGAGGCTCCAGGGACAGCATGGGGACACCCCCTGGGGCCAGCAGCAGCCCTGGATGCAGAGGGGCTCCCCGCACCCCTCATTGGGGGGCACCCCGATGCTTGTGTCTGTGGACCCCCCCCTGCGGCCACGCTCCCCAAGGCTGTGCTGCTGGTGCACAGCGGCGGGGCTCTCTATTTATTGTTTGAAAAGAACCCAAAGCTCTCCCTGTTCTGCTGTTTTGGGGGAGGGTCTGGAGAGGGGGCCTTGGGGTGGGCAGTTCTGAAGCCCCCATAGGGCCAGAGGGACTTGGCCAGTTTGTGGGGCTGGGAGGCACAGGAGTGTGCGTCAGATGGGGCTCTGCCAGCCTGTCCCCATCCCATCCCATCCCATCCCCATCCCCATCCCCATCCCATCCCCATCCCATCCCATCCCATCCCATCCCCATCCCATCCCATCCCATCCCCATCCCATCCCATCCCATCCCATCCCATCCCCATCCCATCCCCATCCCATCCCCATCCCATATCCCCATCCCATCCCATCCCATCCCCATCCCACCCCATCCCATCCCATCCCATCCCATCCCATCCCATTGTGCCCATCCCATCCCATCCCATCCCATCCCATATCCCCATCCCATCCCATCCCACCCCATCCCATCCCATTGTGCCCATCCCATCCCATCCCATCCCATCCCCATCCCAGTAAGACAAGGACCCGGGCCAGTCGAGCATCCCTGTTTATTGAACTGGGATCCCGTTCCCCAGCGGGGAGCTGTCCCCCCCAGGGGTGTCCCCGGGCTCTCACGCCGCTTGCCGGCCCCGGCGCCGCTTGATCTTCTTCTTGAGGAGCAGCAGGTCCAGGTAGAGCACGCGGCCCAGCACCGCCGAGGCGCAGAGCAGCCCCCCGTGGAGGGCCCCCGCCAGCCCACAGCTGAACACGTCCTGCCCTGGGGACGAGCCCGCGGCTGGGATGTGGCCACCACCATGGGGGACGTGGCCACCACTATGGGGGATGTGGCCACCGCCACTGGGGATGTGGCCACCACCATGGGGGATATGGCCACCACCATGGGTGGACATGGCCAGAACCATGGGGGGACACGGCCACCACTATGGGGGACATGGCCACCACCCCATGGGGACACAGCCGCCACCATGAGGGGACACAGCCACCACCCCGTGGGGACACCCCACGCTGCAGGGAGCCCCCCTCGGGGCTCTGCCTCCTGCCTGGAGCTGGGCATGGGGATGGGGGGCACAGAGATAGGGGACACGGGGACATGGGGACACGGGGACATGGGGACATGGGGACACGGGGACATGGGGACACGGGGACGGGGTCCCCTACCCGTCAGGTAGAGGTTCTTCACGGGGGTCTCGGCTCTCATGGCGGCCACCACCTCGGGGGTGAAGCGGCCGACGTCGTGCTCGCTGCCGTACATCTCGCCGCGGGGCGCCGCCAGGTAGTGCTCGTTGGTGAGCGGCGACGCCGCCTCCACGAACTCCACCTGCCCGGTGGGGGGGGCACGGGGGGGTGCACGGGGAGCAACGGGGGAATGGGGAACACCGGGGGCACCGGGCATGCCGGGGTGCACGTGGGTAGGGCAGACCCCCCCCACACCAAAGAGCAGGTTCCATGCTGGGTCCAAGCCCACCCCACGGGGCACCCCGTTCCCAATTGGTAAGGAAATATCACAAGGCACCCCAATCCCAACGGATGCCCCATTCCCACAGGGCACCTAAACCCCACAGGGCACCCCATTCCCAACAGGAACCCCATTCCCACAGGACACCTTATTCCCAATGGGAATCCCACCCCCAAAAGCCACCCCATTCCCGTGGGGTACCCCATTCCCAGCTGATACCCCATTCCCACGGTGCACCCAAACCCCACAGAACACCCCACTCCCATGGGGCACCCCATTCCCAACAGCCACCCCATTCCCACAGGACACCCAAACCCCACAGCGCACCCATCCCCACGCGCACCCACATTCCCACCGTGCATCCCACCCTGTGGAGACACCCCACCTCCGAAGGAGCACCCCAACCCCGTGTGCCCCCCAATCCCACGGCCCTCCCCATCCCCACCACCACCACCACCACACCCCCATTCCCCGGGGCCGCCCCCCGCCCGCCCGCCACCTTGTCTCGGAGCTGGGGGAAGCGCTGCAGCGCGCGCTCCAGCAGGCGCTGGGCGATGGCCCCCTTGTACCGCTGGTACTCAGCACCACGGTGCTTGGCGCGGGTGCCGGCCCACTCCTCGAACCACTCGTACCGTGCCATGGTCAGGATGGTCATGCACGAGCGGCCTGCGAGGGGCGCGGTGTCCCCATGCTGTCCCCAACGCCCCCCAACATGTCCCCTTGGTCCCCGTGCCGGTGTCACCCCCGGACACGCCGGTGCCCACCCCACAGTCACCACCATTGGGGTTGAGGAGGTGCTGAGCTGGTGATGCCGAGCGGATGGGAGCCCCGTGGGGGGGGGACGGGGGGGGACGCACGGCACCAGCAGCACCCCCCCGGCCCTACCTGGGTGCCTCTCCTCGTAGGTGGGGTCCTTGGCGGCGGGGAAGGTGATGAACATCATGGCCAGGTTCTCGGGGACGTCGTCGCGGTGCAGGGCGGCGTAGCGGGTCATCCTGCGGGCACGGCGTGTGGCACCCGCCCTGTCCCCGTTCCCGTCCCCATCCTCATCCCACAGCCCCCCGGGGGGGGCCCTTACATGGTGTCCAGGTCGTTGTGGGGGTAGATCCAGAAGTTGGTGGCGGGTAGGGCCAGCTCGGCCGCGCTGCCCCGCAGCCCCACGAACACCAGGAAGGAGCCCATGCCGTGGCGCACCATGGCCAGGCGGGAGCGGACGTCTGTGGGGACATGGGAGGGCTGGGGACAATGCCACCCCGCTCCCAGAGGGGACACTGGGGACACTGGTGGTGATGGAGTCACTTGGGACACCAAGGATAATGGGGATGCTGGGGACAATGGGGCTGTTGGGGACACAGGGATGGAGAGGATGATGGGGACGCTGTGGGTGTTGGGCACTCTTGGGACACTAGGGATAGGGGGGGTGCTGGGGACCATGGGGGTGCTGGGGACACCCGGGGATGCTGGGGACACTGCGGGGTGTTGGGGACAATTAGGACACCAGGGACAATGGGGCTGCTGGGGACACGATGGTCCCTGGGGACTCTGGGGACACTGCGGTTGTTGGGGACGCTTGGGACACCAGGGATAGGGGGGGTGCCGGGGACACTGCGGGTGTTGGGGGACACCCAGGGGTGGTGGGGACACCCGGGGGTGGTGGGGACACCCGGGGACAGTGGGGACACCCGGGGCCTCCATACCCGGGAGGCTGCGGAGCGGGGGGGGCAGCAGCTTGCCGAAGGTGTTGAAGATGCCGGCGTCGGAGATGACGACGGGCGCCCAGATCTCCACCTCCTCCTCGCTCGGCCCCTTCTGCACGGCCACCCCTGCCGGGGGGGGGACACACACGGACACGCGACACGGCGCTGTCCCCGCTGTCCCCACGCCGTCACCCTCCCCGGGGGCGGGGGGCGCTCACCCACGGCGGTGCCACTGGCGGGCGAGACGAGGATGCGGGTGACGGGGGCGCGCACCAACACGGCCCCCCCTGCCCGCTCGATGAGGGGCACGGCGTGGAAGGCGATCTCGCTGGCCCCCCCCCGCGGGTACCAGGCACCCCGCTGGTAGTGGTGCACCATCAGCACGTTGATCAGGAAGCTGGAGTCCCGCGGCGCCGTGCCTGGGGGGGCGCGGGGGGACCGTGAGGGTGGTGGCCGGGGACGTGGGGACGTGCCCCAAAGCCGGCCCCCACCCTAGAGCAGGGCTGCCATCCCCTATCGCGACACGAGCTTCTTCTATCGCGACATGAGCCTCCCTTATGGCAACACGAGCCTCCCCTATCACAACACAAGCCTCCCCTATCACGACAGGAGCCTCCTCTATCGCAACACGAGCCTCCTCTATCATGACATGAACCTCCCCTGTCGTGACACAAGCCTCCCCATCATGGTACAGCCTTCCCTTATCAAAAGGTGCCCTCTCCTATTGCGATATGGTGCTCTCTGTCAGCACACATCCTCCTGTTATCATGACATGGCCTTCCCCTATCACGATACAGCCCACCCCTGTCATGATATGGCCCTAGTCTATTGCAGTGTGGCCCTCCTGTTTTATGAGGGTGCCTGCCCCATTGCAGGTCAGCCCTGCCTATCATGATACAGCCCTTCCTTATCACGACACAGCTCTCCCTCATCACAACACTGCCCTCGTCTATCGTGATGTGGCCTGCTCTATCACGACACAACCCTCCCCACCACCACGTGGCTCTCCCCTACCACCACGCAGCCCTCTTCTATCGCAGCGCTGCCCTCCCCCGTTGTGCTGGCACCCTCCCTATCGCGACGGCCCCCTCTTTATCCCGACGGCCCCTTCCCTATCGCGACAGGGGCTGACCGTAGAAGAGGTAGCTGAGCAGGGCGCGCAGGTCCTGGTCGGCTGTCAGCCGGGCCACGGCCTCGCTGTGGCCGGTGGCCGCCATGCGGAAGACGGGCGAGATGCGGTGCACGAGGCCGGTGCGGAGCAGCAGCGCGGCCAGCCAGCGCGGCACCAGCTTCAGCAGCGCCAGCAGCGCCACGTGCCTCGAGGCCATCTGGGCAGGGACACGGCCCTGGCACCCCGGCACGGCCACCACCCAACGCCCGTGTCCCCACGCACCGCCACCGGGTCCCCACCACGCTCAGTGCTGCGTCCCCGGTGCCGCCAGCCGTGTCCCCACCATCCCCATCGCTCCGGTACCCAACGTGCCCAATGCTGATGTCCCCACCGTGACCACCCTTGTCCCCAGCATGCTCATTGTCCTTGTTCCCAATGTGCCCACTGCCCGTGTCCCCACTGTCCCCTTCGCTCCAGTCCCCAACGTACCCGATGCTCATGTCCCCCCCGTGGCCACCCTTGTCCCCAGTACGTTCATCTCCCTCGTCCCCAACAAAACCAATTCCCATGTCCCCACCACGGCCACCACTTGTGTCCCCACCAACCCCACCACCAGCATCTCCACCGCCCCTGTCCCCCCCAGCCCACCACCCATGTCCCCAGAGCCACCAGTGCCACCCCCTCCATCTCCACACCCCCTCCCGATCCAGCCGTGCTGGGGACGTGCCTCCTCCCACCCCACGGACAGCGAGGGGACGCAGAAATCGAGGTGACACCCCGCACACCGGGACCAGGGGTGTCCCCAGGGGGTGTCCCCAGAGGGCCTCGCACCTTGGAGAGCCTCATGAACTCCCTGATGGCCTCCTTCTCGGCGGGGAACTGCTCCTCCAGCGCGGCGGCGAAGGTGGCCTTGCCGGCACGGAGCTGGTAGCGGTGGGGACCCAGGGTCACCTCGTCATAGGGGTCGGGCAGGCGCTGCCAGCGGAGCTGCCCGTCCGTCAGCTGGTCCAGCGCCACGCGCAGCATGCTGCCCTCGTGCATCTGCCCCACGTAGTGGATGCCTGCGGGCTCCAAGGGGTCAGCGCCCACGGGGTGGAGGGGACAGGGCTGTGCCCACCTCGGGGACACGCGGTGGGAGCCCCCCGGGGTGGCAGGTGGGAGGTTGAAGTGTTGGGGTATCCTTGAGGGGGAGGTGGGCAGCAAGCAGGGCACGCACGCTGCGTGCACACATGCATGGTGCATGTAAATGGCATGCTGGATGCATGCACGCTGCATGCACGCACTGCATGTGTGTGTGCAACGCATGCATGTGCTGCACACCGCGTGCACAGACTGCAAGCACAGTGTGCACGCTGAATGCAGACAGTTCGCACACCCTGCACATGCAAATGCTGCATGCAGTGTGCACAACATGCCGTGCATTGCATAAACACTGCGTGCAAACATCGTGTGCGCTGCCAAAATGCTGCAGACTGCGTGCATGTGTGCATACTGCACGCACTGCACACATAAAAGCACACACTGCGTGCACACAGTGGGTACAGCACAAAAATACCAGAGATGCTTCACACACACGCTGCGAGAACACGTGCTGTGCACAAACAGTGCTTGCATGCACCGTGCAAGTGCTTGCACTACAAAAACCGCAGACACTGCACACATGCACTGCACGTACCTGCCTGGTGCAGGCTGCAAACGGGCACTGCATGTGCATGCACACAGTGCATGTGATGCACACACTGCAGGAACACGCACGGTGCACACAATGCATGCACACACACCAGATGTATGTGCAAGCACAGCAAACACACGCTGCATGCACACGCTGCAAACACGCACCCTGCAACCCTGCAGCACAGCCACAGGCGCACACGGGGACAGGGACTTGACACAGCAGGGACCACCGGGACATGGTGGGGGGGTCCTTACCCACATCGAACTCGCTGCCCTGCTCCTGGAAGGTGTGGCAGCACCCGCCGGCCTGGTCGTGCTGCTCCAGCACCAGCACCCGCTTGCCCACCTTGGCCAGGGTGCTGGCCGCCGCCAGGCCACCTATGCCACTGCCGATGACCACGGCGTCCAGGTCCCGCGGCACACGCGCGGCGCTGAACCCTGAGCAAATTTGGGGGGGGGTGAGGGCATGGTTCTGCACCCCGCTGCATCCACTCAGCGCACAGCATGCACCCACCAGGGACAGACAGACAGACAGACAGATGGTGCGCCCCCCACTCACCCCGCTTCAGCACCCGGTCGCGTGCCCGCTGATCCATCACCAGCGGCCGGGGAGGGTCCGTGGGGGGCCGGGCGAAGGGGTTGCCAGCAGGGGACAGGAGCCGATGGGCCACCAGCCCCAGAGCCAGCACGCCCAGGGCCAGCAGCAGCAGCAGCAGCGTGGCCCACATGGCTGTGGCCGTGCCGTGCAGGTATTGCACCTCCTGGACTTTGCACCTTGCGGATAATGCACCCTATAGGCTCCGTGCCTTGGAGCCCGGCACCTTATGGACCTGGAGGCTTATGGAGCGGGCGGTTTATGGACCTGGAGGCTTACAAAACCAGCAGCTTATGGACCTGGGGGCTTACGGAGCCGTCGGCTTACAGGCAGAGCCGCTTAGAGCCACGCGAGCCGCTGGGCACGGCGGCTTACGGACACCCCTCCGCCCAGAGCAGCGGCTTAACGGGGCAGCTTAAAGCCAATGCTGCCTAAAGCCGCTCGGTTTAGGGGGGCTGCACCCTACAGCAGGGGGCCCACAGCCCGGGAGGGGGGTGCAGAAGGCGCAGCCCCCCCCCAATCTGAGCCCCTTGGGGATGGCGGTGGGCTGCGGGCCAGGGCGCAGCGCGGCGGGGTGGGGGCACGCGCGTGTGCATGGGGAGTGCACGCAGGGATGCAAGCGGTGCGCGGCTGTGCAAGGAGGCAGGGGCACGGGTGTGCACAGCCAGACGCGCACAGCGCGGTGCAAACACACGCGTGCAACGCCCTTGCACGCGCAGGCACAGCCAGCGCCGCCGCCTGCAGCTCTGCTGACCTCTCCCGGCGGCAGCGAGGAAGGGCCTGAGAGTGCAACGTGACACGCGCACACCCCCCCCCGTGTGCACAAACACACCCATGCACACACACACACACACACACCCCGTGTGCGCACACAAACACACGCACACAGCAGCCACAGCCACCCACGCAGCCCCGCTGCGCACACCCAGGTGCACACCGACACGAGCGCACACGCGTGTGTGGCACCCCCCAGACACCCTCTGGGTGCCAGGCGGGGGTGGAGCAGCCTTTTGCAGAGCGAAACCATCAGCATCGGGTGGGAGAGGGCCACAGGTGACACAGGTGACACGGGTGACGCAGGTGACACGGGTGGCACTGGTGACACGGGTGGCACGGGTGGCACAGCACCCCCCCGCTTTGCCCACGGTGACACAAAGGCGCTGCTTTTCTCTCCTTGATCTTTAATAAAAGTCACAGCAAAGTACCAAAAAGGAGCAACCTGGGGACGGGGACGTGGGCACCCCGGGGTGTCCCCGCAGGACGGGGGCACGGGGACAAAGGGGACACAGCGGAGGCAGCGCAGAGCCCCCGGGCTGGGCACACGCATGTGCACACTGACGTGCACCCACCCACGCAGCCAGACCCTGCGCTCCCCCCGTGTCCCCGTCCCCTGGCATCACCCCCCCCAGACACCCCCAGCAGCACCCCAGGGCTTAATTACAGGGCTCATTAATTACAGAGTTAATTGAGGGCTAATTACACGGTAGGGATCCTCGGGGGGGGTTATTGCTACCTGGGAAGGGGTGATGTGGGGCAAAGGGGGGTGGGGACAGCAGGAGGGCTGGGCGCAGATCCCTCCCGGGGGGGGGTGGGGGTGTTCCCATGGGGAAACTGAGGCAGGGGCCACCCAGCACCTTGGGCACCCCAGGGTGGGGGCCTGGGGGGGGCACTGGAACAAAGTGGCTGGAAGGAGGGGGGCAAGTTTTGGCAGTGAATTAGCTGTGTGGGCACAGGAAGGGGGGGCAGCCCCACCACCTGCTTGTGCCTCCCCCCCCCCAAAATAAAAAACAAAAATAAATAAAAAAAAAGAACAATCTGGGAGTGGGTGGGAGGGAGAGAGGGGCTGGGCACGGGGACGGGGGGGGGTCTGCAGACCCCAAACCCCCCTCTCAGGTCCTCCTTGGCACACTCATGGCACGGGGGGGGGGCACTAGTAGACCCAGCTGACGGGCACCCACTGGGGCTCGACGCGCAGGCGCTCCATGGCCTGGCGCAGGCGCCCGAAGGTGCGCTCCAGGTCGTCGTTGGTGAGGCTGAGGTCGAAGTAGTGGCCATAGCCGCGCTGGATGCGGCCGCTCTCCTCCACCGTCCGCCTGGCGTCCGCCTCCTGCCCCGCGCAGGAGCTGCCTCAGTTTCCCCATCGCCTCCCCAAAGTCCCCCCAAGGTCCCCGTCCCATCACCTCCCCAGGGTCCCTGGTCCCTGTCCCATCATCTCCCCAAAGTCCCCTCAAGGTCCCCATCCCATCACCTCCCCCCAGGGTCCCAGTCCCCATCCCATCACCTCCCCAAGGTCCCCAATCCCCATCCCATTGTCTCCCCAGGGTTCCCATCCCATCTCCTCCTCAAGGTCCCCGGCCCCCTTCCCATCACCTCCTCAAACTCCCCCCAAGATCCCCATCCCCCTGTCCCCGTGTCCCCCACCGTGAGCTGCTTGGTGGCCACGCCGCTCTCCAGCGCTGCCCGGTTCATGGCGCGCAGCGTGTCGGGGCCGGGGGCTTCGATGAACACCACGTAGGGCACGAATTCGGCCGTCCTCAGCACCTTCACCGCCTGGGCAGGACGGGATGGGGCTGAACCCCCCCAAAACCCCATAAACACCCCCTTGGCGGGTGTTTCCATACCTGGGGGTTGACGTCCAGGATGCACATCTTGCCCGCGTCCACCACGGCGCGGATGGAGTCGATCTTGGTGCCGTAGAGGTTGCCCTCGTACTCGCCGTGCTCCAGGTAGCGCCCGGCCTTGATGTCTGCCTCCATCTCGCCCCGTGACACGAAGCGGTACCCGTGCCCATCCTTCTCGCTCTCCTTCGGCTTCCGCGACGTGTCTGCACGGCACGGAGAGCCTTGAGCACACCCAGCCCAGGGGGGGTCCTGTTCCTGGGGTCCCCTTCCCTGGGGTCCCTTTCCCAAGGATCCTGTCCTGGCAGTCCCGTTCCCAGGGTCCCATTCCAGGGGTCCTATCCTGGCGGTCCCATTCCTGGGGATTCCATCCCAGGGGTCCCATTCCCAAGGATCCCATCCCGGTAGTCCCATTCCTGGGGTCCTGTTCCCGGGGTCCTATTCCCAGGGTCCCCTTCCCAACAATCCCATCCCAGCAGTCCTATTCCTGGGGTCCCATCCCAAGGGTCCTGTTCCTAGGGTCCTATTCCTGGTGTCCCCTTCCCAGGGTCCCCTTCCCAAGGATCCCATCCTGGCAGTCCATCCTGGCGATGCTTTTAGGGGACAGCAATGCTCACGAGGGCAATGGCAATGCTTTCAGGGGGACCGCGATGCCTTTGGGGGACGGTGGCGTCCCAGGGGTCCCGGGGGGGGGAGGGACACACGGTGACACTCACAGGGGATGGTGGTGCCGTAGCGCGCCTGGTCGGACATGAGCAGCTTGTTCTTGAGGCTGCGGCGCCCCACGCCCTGGGCGCCGATGAGCACCAGGGTTTTCCGACGGAAGGGCGGCATCCGCGCCACCTCCTCGTAGATGAGCAGCTCGTGGCGGTCAAACTCTGCCCGAGGGACGGGGGGGGACCCTCAGCGGCTGCTGCGGGGACCCCAGGGTGGCCCCAGGACCCCCACGTGGCCCTGGGACCCCTGTGTGGCACAGGGAGCCCCTCATGGCACAGGGACCCCCACGTGGCACAGGGACCCCTGCATGGCCCAGGGACCCCCATGTGGCTCCAGGAACCCCCACATGGCCCAGAAACCCCGCATGGCCCAGGGACTCCCCCCAGGTGGCCCAAGGACCCCCATGTGGCTCCAGGACCCCCCCCCTTCACTGGTTGCATCGCTCACCGGCGTTCTTGGTGGTCAGGTACATCATCCTCTTCTTCCTCCTCCCGCTGAGGCTGCCGCACAAGGCCCCTGCCGAGGGCACAGGGATGCTTGAGCCGGGGCTGGGGACAGCGCCACAGCACGGGGACATTGCCGGGGGGGCTGGGGAGGGGGTTTGGCACCGTACCGGACGCGGGGGGCACCTCCAGGTCCCGCTTCACGAAGGCTTTGCGCTTCTCCTCCAGCAGCTGGCTGGGGATGAGCCCCGCGCTGCCCCCCTCCACGTGGCATGCCTGGGGGGGACAGAGTGGCACGTGGGGACCCCACGTCCCTGGGGACACCCCCGTGCTGCACCCCTGGGAGGGGGGACACGGCACGGCACATGGGGACCCCTGGGAACCCCCCTGGGGTCAGAAGGACACGGTGTGGCACATGGGGACCCCATATCCCTGGAGACCCCCCCTGCTGTCCCCCTGGGGTTGAGGGGACACAGTGGGAAAAATGGGGACCACACATCCCTGGGGACCCCCCACGTGCTGCCCCCCCTGGGGTTGAGGGGACACCGCGTGGCACACAAGGACCCCTCCCCACAGGGACCCTCCCCAGCCCCAAGCGCACCCCAAACCTCCGCAGCCCCCAGCTGCTGGGGGACCCCAGTCTGGGGGTGGGGGACAAGGAGCAGCCCCCCCGGGCCCCCCCCCTCTCACCTGCCACCAGTTGGGGTCATCCTGGTTGACGATCTGCAGCAGGTCCCCGGCGGCGAAGCGGAGCCCGGCCTCCTTGCAGGGGATGAGGCTGTCGGAGGCCGGGTCGTAGTCGAAGTGGCACTTCACGAAGACCTGGGGGGGGGGTCGGGGGGGGCACCAGTGGGGACAGGAGAGAGGGGAGAGCCCACGGGTGCCACGTTCCCGTGCTCCCAGACCTCTGCTGGCTTGCGCCTCGGTTTCCCCAGCAGCTCCCCGCACGCTCACACGTACACGCGCGTGTGCATCCTCCGTGCCACCCGGCGCAGGCAGGCGTGCAAGGCACCCGCGCACACGCAGGCGGCACCCACGGCTGCTGCCACGCACCACAGAGCTCCCAGGGTGGCACCCACGCAGAGCACAGCGCCCACGCACAGCCCGGCGCCCACGCACAGCGCCGCGGCGATGGCACACATGTGTGCACGCGTGTGCGCCCGCGGCACCCAAGGGACCCCGGTGCTGGGGAGCAGGGGGGTGCCCGGGGACAGCCTGGTTGGGGACGCGCGGTGCCAGGCGGCGCGGTGCCAGGGGACGTGGTGACAGCGCTGCTTTGTCCCCGAGGGTGACAGCAGGAGGCTGGCACGGTGAGGGGTGGGGGGCACGGCACCTGGGTCCCATGTGGGGACGGGGATGGGGACAGGAGGGGGGTGTCCCTGAGGGTGCTGGGACATGGGGGGTTGGGGACCCCAGCCTTGGGGGGCTGGGGACGTGGTGAACAGGGGGACGAGGGGCATGGGGAAATGGGACACAGGGTGCACAGCAAGGGGGTGGGGGGGCAGGGAGCAGGGGGTGCATGGCCATGCAGCAGGGAAGCAGCACGGGGACAACAGAGGCATGGGGACAGCACAGGGGAAGGGCAGGGACGCGAGCCACAGGCAGGGTGCTGGTGCAGGGGGAGGGGTGCAGGAGGTGGGTGCAGGGTGCAGAATGCAAGGTGCAGGATGCGGGAAGCAGAGGCATGGTGCAGGACGCAGGGCTCAGGTCATAAAGGGTGCACGGTGCACGATGCGTGGTGCGGGATGTGGGATGAGGATGCAGGACGCAGGGTGCAGGACACGCAGGACACGTGGTGCAGGACACGCAGGACATGCAGGACACGCGGGTACCTGCCGGGGCGGGTGGGGCTCCTGGTAGCTGGGCAGGATTTTGAGCACGACGCTGCCGCTGGCGTGGCGCAGGCTGTCCTGCAGCGCCCGCGGGTCGCTGCCCACCTCGCGCCCGTTCACCTCCCGGATGACGTCCCCCACGTGCAGCAGGCCCTGCTGGGCCACCATGCCCCCGTGCAGGATGCGGGCGATCACCAGCTCCCCCCGCTCCACCCGGAACGTCACCCCCTGGGGGCACGGCCCCAAGTCAGCCCCCCCCGGCAGTGCCCAGCACCAGCAGGGATGGCAGCGAGGGGGTCCCAGCACCCTGCGAGGTCCTCGGCAATGCCCCGGCACCCTGCAATGCCCCCCAGCACCCTGCAATAATCCCAGAGCATCGCAATGCCCCCAGCACCCACCAGCACCTCCAGCAATGCCACCAGCACCCAGTGATGCCCCCAGCATCCTACAGTGACCCCAGCACCCTGCAATGCCCCCCAGCAATGCCCCCAGCACCCTGCATTAATCCCAGAGCATCGCAATGCCCCCAGCACCCAACAGTGCCCCAGCAGCAATGCCCCCAGCACCCAAAAGTGCCCCCAAAAGTGCCCCCAGCACCCAGCAGCACCCAGCACCTTGCAGCACCCCCAGCACCCAGCAGTGTCCCCAGCACCCAGGAATGCCCCCAGCACCCCGCAGCACCCCATGCAATGCCCCCAGCACCTTGCAGCACCCCCAGCAGCGCCCCCAGCCCCCCACAGCGCCCCCAGCCCACTCTCACCAGGTTCTCCCCGGCCACCTTGCGGATGCCCACCATGCGCACGGCGTCGGGGGGCACGGGCTGGTTGTTGAAGGTGGGGTCCAGCACGGGGCTGGGCGGGGGGGTCTCGTAGCTCTTGGAGGCCACCGAGTCGTGGGTCTCCAGCAGGGACTGCAAAGCACGCAGCCATCAGGGGGGCTTTGCACGCTCCCCTGCCTTGCACACGCACCGTGCACGCGCAGCACACCTGGAAGTGCGGCTCGCGCAGGATGCGTGCCAGCTCGGCCGCGGCGCTGTCCTGGCGCGCCAGGTGCCCGATGTCACGCAGGATGTCCTGCACCAGCTCCACGTTGTTGTCCCGCACCGCCTCCAGCTTCGTCTCCTCCAGCCGCTCGTGGGCCTGCGGTGGGGGCGAGGGACCCCCCGCTGCCACCAGCGCCCGGTGCGCGTGCACGCGCACACACACACGCGTGTGTGCATGCAATGCATGCTCACAGCACCCTGCGCGCACGTGCGCGTGTGCAAACTCATCCTTTGGGATGCACGTGCAAAGCCACAAGGTTATGCTTGTGCATGCACACCTGCACGCACACCTCCCCGCCAAGCCATGCATGCACGCACCAGCACACGTGTGCACGTGCAAGTGTGCACACGCTGGTGGACACACGGGATGGGGGGGCAACCACGTGCTCTCCATGCGCATGCTGGGCAGGTGATGCACACACAAACACACACACGTGCATGCACGCCTCCTTGCACACCACCTCTCCTCTCCCCACCCACCCACCCCCAGCCCCCTCCTGATGCCCCCCACCCCGCACACAACTGCAGCACAGCAGCCAGGCACACCCGGCTGTGCACACACGCACGTGCAAACACGCACGCTTGCTTCCACACGTGCACACCTCCCTGCATTTACACACAGGCATGCAAGCACACAACCATGCATGTGCATGCATGCATCTGCACATGCACACCCTCAGGTGCACGCACACACGTGTGCACACCTCCCACCACACTTCTGCACACACACACGTGCAAGCAGATACAACCGTGCACCTTGCTCCACACAGCAGCACAATGCATGCACACACACACGCATGCATATGTGCCCGTGCACACCCCCCATCCATGCACCCCCATGCTCCCACATCCCCCCTGTGCCCCCCCACATCGGGGGTAGCCCGGGGGGGGGTCACGGTGCCCCCCACCCCCCGGTACCTTCGCCAAGGAGCGCACTATGGGGCTCTCCATGATGCCCCGCAGGAAGATGAGGTCGAGGTCGGCGGCACCGGGGGCACTGGGGAGGCCCAGGAGGTTGTCGAGGACCTGCTGCATGGCTGGGGCACAGGGACACGTCGGGGGGGTGGCCGTGGGGTGCCCCCCCCACACCCCAAAGCACCTCACAGAGGGGTAAGGGGCAGCCCTGCTGTGGTGGGGGGGGGGCAGCTCCGTGCCGTGGCCTCCCCGTGCCTCAGTTTCCCTGCAAAGGACTGCCCCCCCCCCCCGGATCTGCAGACCCCCCCCCCAATAGTTGCAGGAGATTGCACAGTCCATGAGGTGGGGGCAACAAGGAGAGCCCCCCCCCAAAAAAAAAAACCTTCACTTTGGGAGGGGCTTCAGGAGGGAATCCCCCCAACCCCCCAGGGGGGTTCCCCACAGTCGGTACTTGCAGCAGCAGGTGGGTTTGCAATGCAAGGGGGGGGGGGGAACAGGGGGGGCTGCAATGCAACGAGGGGGGGGGGCTGCAATGCAACTGGGGATGTAATACAGCCAAGGCGGGGGGGGGGGGGGGTTGCAATGCAACCAGGCAGCACAGAGTAAACAAGGGGGGGGTTGCAATAAAGATGAAGGGGTTGCAGTGCAGCGGGGGGGGGAGGGGGGGGCTGTAATGCAAACGAGGGGGGGTTGCAATAAAAATGAAGGGCTTGCAGTGAAGATGAAGGGGCTGCAATGCAAATTAAGGGCTTGCAATGAAAACGAGGGGGTTGCAATACAAATGGGGGGGGGGGGGGGGGGGCACGATGCAAGCGAGGGGGTTGCAATGCAAACGCGGGGGTGCCTTACAGCCGGGGGGGGGGGGGCGATGCAGCCGGGCCGTGCATGCAGCCGGGGGGGGGTTGCACCGCGCAGGGGCTGCGCTGCAGCAGGGAGCTGAGGAGATGCACCCAGAGGCTGCGTGTGATGGGGGGGGGATGTGCCAGCCAGGGGGGGGGCTGCAACACAGGCAGCCCCCACCCCACACCCGGGGGGGCTCACAGCCTGGCCTAGGACCCCCCCCCAACCCCATCTCCTTACCCCAGCCCCCCCATTCCATCCCCACGCACCACCTGCCCCTTAGCTTGGCATCACCCCCCCGGCCCCCCCCCCTTGGACCCCGGCTCCCCCCCTACCTTGGGGTCCCAGGGGGGGCCCTGGGGGGGCCGGGGAGGGCGGCGAGGCCCCACGGCCGGGGCCGCTGCTCATGGCTGCGGGCGCATTGCCCGGCCTCCGCCCGCCTCCTGCCCAGATCCGGGTACCGCGGCCCCCCCCGAGCCTGCTGCACCCCGCAGCACCCCGGCGTGCAACGGGGGGCATGGGCGTGCAACGGGGGGCATGCAACTGTACGTGGGTGGGTGTGCACACGCAGGTGTGCACAGTTCCTGCACGCGCACCAGTGTGTGCTCGCACGGCAACGGTCCCGTGCACAGTGTGCAAGGTAATGCACACACGCGTGTGCTCACGTGCAGCACGCATGCATGCACTCTTAGTGTGATGATGATGTGGTGCACACCTACCTCTGCACACTCACGAGTGTGCACACCTGCCATATGCACATCTGTGCACAAGCACGTGCCTGTGCACACTCACACTCGTGCACCATGTGAGCAGTTGTGTGCATTGCCCTGCACACAACCACATGCTGCATGCACACGCACCTGCATGCACACACGTGCGTGTGCACAACCCTGAGCACCCACGGACACGCTTGTGCATGCTCACACACGTGTGCAGAGCCATGCACCCCATGGTGCATGCTCACGTGGATGCACACTTGTGCGTGCACACCTCCCTTTGCACACTCACCCATGCTCACCCCCACGTGCATGCACACACACCCCCGTGCAAACCTGCTGCACGCACCCCATGCATGCCCCCTCGGTGCTTGCACACCCCCGTGCAAACCCACCCCCTCGTGCATAACCCCCTCCCCCGTGCTTGCACACCCCATGCACACCCACGCGCGCCCCCCCCGTGCCTGCTCACCCGTGGGACCCCCCCCGCACGCAGCCCCGCAGCCTCCCGGGGTTGGGGGGGGGGGAGCTGCGGGTGCGTCCCCTTTAAAGGGGCGGGCGGGGGGGGGCGGAGATGGAGGGGGTCACCGTTACCATGGCAACCGAGGGGGCGGGCAGGGAGCTCCTGGGGGGGGGGGGGGGGGGCGCGGATTTAAAGAGCCCGCCCCCCGCGCGTGTGCACGCGCACACACCCACGCGCGCGCACCCGGGGGGGAAAGGGGGGCACGTCTGTAGAGCACCCGAGTGCCCCCCCCATGCGAGTACGACCCCCCCCCTTATTGCACACACGCAGTGCACGGTCTAGTGTGCAGTTTGCACACGCGTGTGCACAGCCCTTGCAGGCTGGGTGCGTGCTTACACACGCGTGTGCATGCACACGAGCCCCCCCACGCAGCAGCAGCTCATGCACACCGTGCCCCCCCCCACGTCGTGTGTCCCCCCCCCCATGTCCCCAGTGTCCCCAGCACAGCCCCCCCAGCAGACAGAGACAGGAGGTGGCTGCAATGGGGTTTATTGGGGGATGTGGGGGGGGGACAGATGGAGGCATGCTGCAGGTGCAGCAGGGGCTGGGGGTGTTTGCCCCCCCCCCCCCCCCAGGGCTCCTCTTCGCCCACTCGGGGCCGTGGTCGCCCCTTCTCAGCACCCGGCGGCACCCATGGGATCCTCGCACAGCCCCCGGCTGCTCGACCGCCTGCCATACCTGCGGGGGGGGGACACGTCAGGGGGGGCAACGGGGGTGCAGCGAGCAAGGGGTGCAGCCAGGGAACGCGCTGCAAGGGAGCTGTGAATTGCAAGGAGGGAGGCGTTGCAGTGGGAGGGTGCAGCAGCAGGGTTGCAGGTTGCAGCAGGGAGCACGGGGATGCATCGCAGCAGGGAGGTGGTTGCAGCTGCTGAGCAACGAGGGGAAGGGGGTGAAGCAGGGAACGTGCAGGGAGTGCGTTGCAAAGGGAGCTGGTTGCAAGAGGAAAGTGAATTGCAATGGGTGGTGCAGTGCAGCGGGGGGCACGATGCAATGGGGAGCACGCTGCAAGGGGGGGCTTTGCGGGGAGGATCTGGTTGCAGAGGGTGAGCAAGTTGCAGCAAAGGAGCACAGTGCAACAGGGAGTGCATTGCAACGGGGATGCAGGTGCAAGCAGGTTGCAACAAGGAGCGGGTTGCAACAGTGAGTGCATTGCAATGGGAAGTGCATTGCAAGTGCATTGCAACGGGAAGTAATTTGCAATGAGGATTGCGTTGGAAATGGGAGTGCATTGCAACAGGGAGTTGCAGGGAGTGTGTTGCAACTGGGAAGTAATTTGCAATGGAGGGGGGTGCACTGCAACAGGGAGTGCATTGCAATGGGGAGTAATTTGCAACAGGGAGTAATTTGCAAGGGGGGGGCATTACAACGGGGAGTGCATTGCAATGGGGAGTGTGTTGCAACTGGGAAGTAATTTGCAACGGGGAGCACATTGCAAGGGGGAGCAATTTGCAACACGGAGTGCATTGCAGCAGGGAGTAATTTGCAAGGGGAAGGGGCATTGCAACAGTGAGTGCATTGCAATGGGAAGTGCATTGCAAGTGCATTGCAACGGGAAGTAATTTGCAATGGGTAGTAATTTGCAATGAGGATTGCGTTGGAAATGGGAGTGCATTGCAACAGGGAGTTGCAGGGAGTGTGTTGCAACTGGGAAGTAATTTGCAATGGAGGGGGGTGCACTGCAACAGGGAGTGCATTGCAATGGGGAGTAATTTGCAACAGGGAGTAATTTGCAAGGGGGGGCATTACAACGGGGAGTGCATTGCAATGGGGAGTGTGTTGCAACTGGGAAGTAATTTGCAACGGGGAGCACATTGCAATGGGGAGCAATTTGCAACACGGAGTGCATTGCAGCAGGGAGTAATTTGCAAGGGGAAGGGGCATTGCAACGGGGAGTGCATTGCAATGGGGAGTGCATTGCAGCAGCCCTCCACACACCCCCCCTGACTCACCGGTGCCGCGTGACCACGTTGAGGTACTGCTGCAGGTCGTTGTAGAAGCGCACCAGGTCCTCGACGGGGGCGTCGTCCCCGGGGTAGGTGGGCTGCGAGGGGCCAGCGGAGGCCGGGTGCCCGGCCAGCAGCACCAGGCAGCAGCCCAGGAGCAGCAGCGAGGCCCAGCGGGGAGGCATGGCTGCACGGGGGGGGCATCAGCCAAGGGCACATGCATGCACACGCACGCTTGCACACTCACACATAGCATGCACACACATGCAACAAGTGCGTGCTTGCAAATGCGCACACTTTGCATGCACACACACGTGCAATGCATGCACTCTTGCACACTGCAGCACATGCACACATGCGTGCTTTGCACACACACCTGCAGGGAACATTCCTCTCCCAGAGCACCCCTGCATCACCCCTAAGCACTCACATGCGTGTGCACAGCACGCCTCACACCCACACACTCTCAGCCTTGCACGTGTGCGTGCACAGCTGCAAACACCCCAAATCCTCCTGCTTCCCCCCCCCCATGGGTGCTGCCCCCAACCTCCCCAGCACCCAGACCCCCCAGGACCCCCAGGACCCCCAGGACCCCCCAGGACCCCCCCACCCCTCACCTGCTTCCACAAGCGGTGGCACGGGGACACGCTCACACGGGGGACACGGGGGACACGGGGGACAGCTCCCTGGCTCCTCGGTGCCACCGCTGCCACCCCGGCACTGCCCCTTATATCCCCCGTCCCCCCCGTCCCCTGTCCCCCCCCGCTGATGTCACCCCACGGCCGGGTTGCCAGGGGGGACAGGGGGGCAGCAGTGGGGGGGGGGACACGGGGACAGCTGGCCCCTCGCCTGGCCCTGGTTAATGTTTGACGCTGGGGCTGGGGGCACCTGGGGGGGGCGAGGGGCTGAACCCACAGCGTCTGTGCCCCGGGGGGGGGACAGGGGGACAGGGGGACAGGGGGACGGACGGATGGACAGAGGGGTGGGGGCTCCCCCAGTCAGCACCCACTGTGATACAGCCCCACACCAGTGCACCCAGCACCCCATACCAGTGCCCCCAGTGCACCCAGCACCCCATACCAGTGCCCCCAGTGCGCCCCTACCAGTATGCCCAGCACCCAGTGTGCCCAGGAACCAGTACACCCAGTGCCCAGTGCACCCAGCACCCCATACCAGTGCACCCAGTGCACCCATACCAGTATGCCCAACACCCAGTACACTTATACCAGTGTTCCCAGTGCCCCCCAGCACCCCATACCCAGTGTTCCCAGTGCCCCCAGCACCCTATACCCAGTGATCCCAGTACTGAGGTCGCCCATACCAGTGCACCCAGTGCTCGGTGCACCCATACCAGTGTTCCCAGTGCCCCCTGCACCTCATACCCAGTGCCCCCAGTGCCCCCAGCACCCCCTCACACAGAAGACCCCCCCACCCCATACCAGTGCTCCCAGCACCCACCGCACCCCCACACCCCCAGCCCCCCGTGCACCTCTACCCCCATCCCGTGTGCCCCCCCCATGCCCAGAGCACCCCCACACCCCGCGGCCAGTGCCCCCCCCCCGCCCTGGTGTGGCTGCACCCCCACACCCAGCCCATGGAGCCCCCCCACACCCCCCCAACTCCCCCCTTGCTCTTTCCCTCCCTCCCCACCGCCCCCCACCGC